TAATTGCTGTAGCACTGCGAACTGTATGCGCCGGTAGTACCAAGGATACAACCGTGCAGGATAAGGCGGCAGTCGAGCCCGAGGAAGACAAGTAAACTTTGAAAATTATTCACGTTTTGGGGAAATTGGAATAGTAATCAGTAGTTATGTATGTGTGCCAGCTGGAAAATGAGTACATAACGAACATCTTAAATATTAGTCCACCTTTATCAAAGAAATTTTTCTAAGGCTGGCTCTCGGTTGCTTTGCAGTGTTTCTGGAGTTCTGTGTTTTGGAACCTGAGCTTGTGTTGGACATGGCCGGGACGGATTGGATGGTTAGTAAGTTTGAATCGGTTCCATCCTAAGCAAGATTTTGGCATTGAGATGATTCAAGTACAAAACATATAAGAACAAAAGAATTTAGGTACGAATACTTACCGGAGCAAGCGCAATCAGCGAGAGGGTTACCGCTGTCGTTGCGCGAATCTTGGTTGCGTGGCTTGATCAGCCAAAATTACGGGCGAAAGGACAACTGCATCTTGTTCTCGAGGTACTCGTCTTCTTTTCCTTCTTTATACAATGTATATATGTAAGCGCTTCAGCAAATTTTCGCTCCTCTTATCGAGTTCGGCTTTTTCCAGAAGAATCTATCTTCTACCGAAATGTAAGCTACTTCTTATAATGTGCGAATTTGTTTTTTCGTTAGATAGCTTTTTACAGTGGCGAACGGATTGTAGAATCCGCCATGAGCAATTTTGCACACTCTTTTCTATGCATTCTTCGGTCGTGGCCGGGTCTTTTTTCATGTGCCGCAATCGGTCCAAATTCTTCAGCAATAGCATCTTCCCCTTTGAGGTACTGTTGTTCTTGCAAAGCTACTGGTTTTTCCGCCGTCAAGCTTTTAGCACGTTTTATCACTTTTGAAATTGCTTAAGATGTCTTCAGGCTATTGGAATATCTGGGTTTGGGCACCGTCGATGACTCCAACTTATCGCGTATTCGTGACATGATAGTTTCCATTTGTTGTGAATTCCTGAATCTTCCATATGCTTGTAAAAATTTTGGGGACTGGAACACCGCTTTGGAATATTACGGTATCTCATGATGCTTTGATTTGTCTTCGAAATGGAGATCTCAATTTAGCTTCCATGGCTG